CGGACTGCGCAAGGTGGTGCGGGCTGCAGCTGCCAGGAACCAGGTCCAGGAGGGAGCGCATGCATAATTAGCCAACCGAGGTTGGAGCGCAGCCAAAATGGCGCGGGAGCGATACGAGGATGTAGCCAGGAGCACCATCACGTGAGAACGCTGACGCCAGCTAGGCCAGGAAAAACTCACTGACCAAGAAACTAGTGCATGGAAGTGGCGCCACCAAAGTCGCAAGCAACGAGACTCCTGAAGGGAGCACTGATCGGGACGCTTGTCGTCCAACCGTGAACAGAGTGAACGCGAACGGCAAAGCGGAGTCGCCAGGGAAACGATGGATGTGCTCAACACCATAACAGAACCTGAGACAACGGATCAAAGGAAACCACGCGCACTCCCGAACTAGGCCGTCGACATCTGAGGAGAAATGACCAGGAACTGGGCAGGTGCACGCCCAAGCACGTGGCCGAGCGAACACGGAAAGCGTCGTGGACACCGCCGCCAGGAACACTGGACGTAGTCAACGCAGTCGGCCGACAGTCAGGAGAGCACAGGCTGGACCACGTGCACTCGGAGGCTCCGTGCGCCAACGAGGAAGTTGGGCATGTGGAGCAGGGGGGGGGGGGGGGGGGGCAGGAAGCCGGGGCCAACAGGGCCACTGCGGGCCCGGCTGCCGGAGGAGGGGCGGAAGGAGCGAGGGGCCCCAGGAGGCAGCGATGGCAAGAAGGGCGGCGACCCCATAATGCACCTTTGCGCCGCGGAGGGCCCAGGGGCGGCGGGGAGAGCAAGCGCCGCTGAGCGAGGGCAGGGGCTTGCAGGCTGGCAGCATCCAGCCAGAAGTGATAACAGCGATAACACGCGCACCACTGGCACCGACGGGCGCAGGGAGCGTCGGCACAGGGTGGCGCAGGCGGCGCGTGGCGCGGGCCAGCGATCACGGGCTGCGCCGACTCGCCCGAAGACGTCAGCTGCGTCCGCGGCGCTGGCGGGGGCGCGCGCGCGAGCCGCCCTGACCGCCGCAGCCGCCCAGAGCAGCCGGCGAGGGGCGACGGGGCCACCGGCGAGCAGCGGGCGGCGAGGGGCAGGAAGGGCGGGACGGCGGCAGACTAATGTGAAACAAGGGCGGGCGCGCCCGCATAGCTCTAGGTGGCGACCTTCCATTGTCTGTTGCCCTTCCTGGGCGCGCGGCTGTCAGCGTGGCCCTTCGCCGCCTGGCGCCCCCTGCCCGCGCCGCCACTTCCACTCAGGTACCGATGCCGCAGCTGAGCTCAGTCAGCGCCGAGGTCCAGCGCGTCGCTCGGGGCCCGCGCGTCGCAGTTGTGGCTGCGGAAGGAGGACAAGATATTGACGCAAGTTTGCTGGTCCTGCCGCAGCGGGTCGAGCGCGCCCGTGCTGCCAGGCATGGCATCCTGCTCGGCGAACGCGCGCCAGGCGCCTGTGATCATCGCCCCCAGGGTGACTTGAAGCCGCCCCATCGTTTTGCCGGGTGTCTCCCCGGGGGTGCCCCACTGGATGCGCCGATCTTAGCTTTATGCAACTGCTGCCCCGTGTCGGGGTCTAAGGCATTGGCGCGCGGCGGGCCCCGTTACCAAAAGCGGGGTGATCAGCGGCTGGTCCTTGGCGCGGCGGCTGCTGCTGCTGCTGCTGCTGCTGCTGCTTCTGCTGCCGCTGCTGCTGGCGCGCCCGCCGCCTGTAGTCCGCCGCCTGCCCGACCCGCCGGCGCGGTCGGCGTCGCTGGGGGCCAGGTTTCGACCCGAGGGCGGCGGTCGCGGAAGCCAGGCAGGGCGCCCGCCCGCTGCCAGGCAGACGCGCTGGGGGCGCGTTCCGGCCGCGCCGCCGCCACCCATCGGCGCTCGAGCTCGCACCATTGCCAGAGAGGGGGGGGCCGGGGTTAGAAGTGGCAGCAGGGGGAGTGCGACGGGGATGGTGAGGATACTTGTTTGGTCTGCAGCCGCGCAACAACGGTCTGGCGGCGAAGGGCAATGTCCGGGGCGGGCGGCGCAAAGCGAATTGGCGACCCCAAGCGCCACGTTGGCAAGCCGGATCGCACCTGCACAACAAGCGTGCAGTTGCACATGCACTGAACACAATGCTCTGCATTCACCAGCAGACGCACCTAGGCGCCGCCCAGTATACCGAAGTGCACACGCGGACGCGGGCGCGAGTGCAACGGAGCGAGTCGCCCGTGCGGCGCCAAACTCCAAGCAGCCAGCCCGGCTAGGTAAGAAGCACGAACCCGGGAGACAGGCTGTTGGCGGTGGAAAACAAGAAGCAAAAGACGCGGAAGGCTGAACCACTCAGCGCGCAGCCCTCGAACTCCACCGCTGAGTGAGGGGGCTGGCGGCGCCCGTCGCAACGAGTCCGGCGCCTGCGTCGAAACGCCCGGGGTGAATGCGACGATGCGTAAAACGCGGACTGTGCCAGGCTGCAACGCTCAAAGCGAGGCCTTCGGGCACGCACCCCCAGTGCCGGTGGGCGCCAGCGACTGCCCGAGACCCACAGTGCCGTCCTGCTGCAGAGAGGCCCACCGATGCCAGCCGCGGACAACGCAGAGGGTCGGACCGCGGGGGGGGGGACCTCCGAGCTGCCTGTCCGACGGGCCACCCGACATGGCCTCCACGGCCGCCGCGGGCGAACCCCTGAGGCGCAGTGGGGGGCACCCACCGGGCCGAAGCGGCGGGAGGCGCGCCGTCCCTCGCCGCGGCCAGCCCGCAGCAGCGCCGGGGCGTCTCCTGTCACCTGGTTTGTCCAGTAGCGGGTGCCACCCTCAGAGTGCACCTTGCAATGGAAAGGGAGGTGCAGCTAACCGCCGCAAGACACAAGTAACTTGATAGCAACTGCACGCCGAGAACATCTGCGCATGAAGGGGGTGCAGCTAACCGCCGCGGAACACGCTTACATCGAGGGGGGTGGCAGAACCTCGCCGATGCGGTCTGAGCTGGAGTGTGCCAGCGTCGGGCGCGCCTCATGGGGGGGTTCATGTGCCGCAGCCTTACGCAACGTAGCTGGAGCTGCAAACTAGGCCTAGGCACCGGCCGAGCGGCGTGCTGGGGGGCGACTATTTCAAACGACTGCCCCCTGCCACCGAAAGTGGGCGGCTGTCACGCCGGACAGCAAAGGAGGGGTGCACTGGAAGATGCGTCTGCGGCCGTCCCCTTGCCACCGAGAGAATGGCTGTCGCCGTGGGACAGCAAAGCAGGTGGTCCCGGGACCGGTGAGGCCTGCGGGCTAGTCCCCATCTGCTGGGGGGGTGAGATGTCCAGGCAAGGTCCACTTTCCAGTGCGGGCTGTCTAGCTATGCTGCGCCAGGGGTGAGATGTGGGGAGACCCCCGCCCCAGCGGGAGTTGCCCCAGGGTATTACGGCCGAGGCCGGGCGCTGCGAGGCGAAACCGTCCCCAGTGGGGACAGGTGCGGGCGACGCGGGGGGGGGGGGGGCGCAGGCGACGGGCCAGGGGTGCAGGGGGCGCGCTGTCAGGCCAGCCCGACCCTGCTAGCCCTGGGCGTACTAGTCCTCCCTGTCCCACCATCGTGCGCGCTTGTCTGTGTATCGATCGTCTCCCCTGGGGGAGTAGCGCTTGCCTTTACCTTTCCAGTCCGTTTCCGTCCACGGTGCTTTCTGGTGGCTCCAGGAATTCCACTCCTGCCATCCCTGCCACCCGGTGGGGGTGGCGGAGCCGACGGCGCCTGCCCATCGATCATGCACGGCTGGCGCCGCGGCTGCCTTGCCTTCTGCTGTCCATGGGGCGGGTCCACTGCTGCTGTCGAGTCCGCGCTGAGCGTGGGTTTTGCGCTCGCGTTGGAGGACCTTCGTGTGCTTGTCCTTGACCGACGGCCAATGGACGTTGAGCCCTAGGTCGCTGTCCATCTTGTAGGCGTCGTACCTGGCGCTGTCCCACGCCTGGATGAATTCGTTGCGCGACTGAACCGTGTTCCGTTTAGGGTCGTGCTTTTCGTTTCCGTTGGTCCCCTGCCTCATGGCAGCTCTCTTCACCCATGCGGCCCAAACTCCATTGAACGCTCCTCCCAGCGTTTTTTGCAGGCGTATTGATGGTGATAATACGCGAAGCGCCAAGAATTTCTTGCAACGCGTATGTTGCACCACGCTGGCAGCACAGCACATGTGGCATATCTTAGATTGCACAGCTCGGGTTGTACAAACAACATAGATGTATACATGTGAATGCGGATACATGTACATGGATATTTTACCCAACGCAGGTCGCACCACGTAGATCGCGCCACAGACATGACACCACATAGATCGCACCACCTGGCTCGCATCACATCCTCTGCACCCCATAGACTGCCCACCATCGGTTGCATCACCTAGATTGCACCACATCGCTTGCCCCACATCTGTTGCGCACCACATGGAGTGCACATCGCATATATCGCACAACACATTTTGCACCACGCATGTTGCACAATCTACACATGGATAGACTGCACAGCATAGACTGTACAACAGACGGTGCACTACACACATTGCACCACATATACTGTTCCAAAGAGCTTGCCACCAATAGACTGCACCACATTGGCTGCACAACACTCACACATACGTGTAAACTGCACATCATATACTGCGCAGTGAGAACAAACGCCACACAAGTTGCTTCGCTCATGCTGGTGCACACCGACTGCTCCAGATGTATAACCTGCCAGAAGCACACTGTTTGAGGACCACGCTGGCTTACATAGATACATAGGTATGCATGAGCATATCATGTATTACTGCTAACGTTTCCGTTGTCGTCGTTCTTGTCATGTCCCATGCTAATCCTCCCTTCCTCTTCCCTTTTCCTCTTCCTCGTTCCCGTCCTTCCCTGCCAAACCCTCCCCTTTCTCCCTCTCAGTGTAGGCTCCTCCTTGCGAGGTGTCCAACAAGACTCTCGGAGGCTTCTTGGGGGCCTCCCCGCAGGATTTCTGGTGCCCCTGGGGGCTTCTTGGGGCCCGACGCGGATAGAGTGCTTCGGGGGGGCGTCTTGGGGTCACCTGAAGCTGTCTTTGGGCATGATTCGGGTCATGTTGGACTATCTTCGGGCTGCCTTGGGCCTTCTTGAAACCTCGTTGGCCCATCTCTTTTATACAAAAAGAGGACTCAGATGCAGTCGCCGCCGGCTTCAATCAGGCCCAGCGACAATGAAAAATCAAGGGCACGCCAGGCGACCGGGACCAGGGCGTCACATCCCAACAATGTTGGCTGCTTAAAAACGCGCAGAGTCGTCCAAGGGCCTCCGCAAGTTGTATCAGCAGACAGCAGATCAGGAGCCATGATGAGGAGACAACAACAGACCTCTTGAGGAGGGAGAGGATGAGGAGGAGGAGGAGGAGGAGGAGGAGGAGGACAAGAACCACTGAAGGAGATCTGTGCGACGTTGGAGAGAACCACTAAGGGGCTCTGTACTGAACAAAATGAAGGCTCAGGTGTAGTCGCCGCCGACCTCAATCAGGCCTAGCGACAACGTCAGGTAAAAAGTCTGCGCAACGACGGGTCTTCAGTCGTCAAACAGGTACTAGATAATCCCAGCCAGTTTCACTCAAGGTCCTCCTTGTTCCCTGGCAGGTCCGCGTGTTCACCTTTGCCCATCTCGGCAAGCAGCTCACGCCTGACGCCGTCCTTCATCTCCTGCTTCTGCCTCTGCGACTTTTCCTCGAGCTCGTGCAGCACCTCAGCCCTTATGCTGGCTGACATCTCGTCCTGTATCTCCAGGGGCACGGTGGTCTCAGCCGCAGACTCCCGCAGGAGCTCATCCCTAGTCCTGCTCTCGACTTCAGCAGGGGTCTCCGCGGGCGTGCTGGCAGCTATCTCCTTGAGGCGTGCATCCTCCCCTATCTGGGGTGCCTTGTCGGAGGGAGTTCCAGCGGTCGTGGTGCTGGCTGTCATCCACTTCAGGACCTTCTCCCGGATCCTGCTGAACATGCCTGCAGGGGGTTCTGCGGGCGCGGTGCTGACGGACACTTCCTCCAGACGATCCTCTTCACTCTCGTTCGCCATTCCGGCTGAAATCTCTGCTGGCGTAGTGCTGGCTGTCATCCCCGTCAGGACCTCCTCCCGGATCCTTCTCTCCATCTCAGCAAGAGTTTCTGAGGGCGCGGATTGGCCAGGGATCTCTGCGGGCGTGGTATTGAACGTCTCCACGAAGTCCTCCCTGGTCCTGGTCTCCCTCTCTGCGTGCGCGGTGCTTGCGGACATCTCATTCGAAAGGTCCTCGCGAATCTCACTGACCGCCATCCCCTCCAGCGCCTCGCTAGTCTCGTTGGCCACCTCGGCAGGAACATCCGCGTGCGTGTCGAGGACCACAGCGGAATCCTTGAGAAGCTCCTGCCCACTCCTGTTCTGCGTCTCTTCAGAAATTTGTTCCTCCACCGCTGAGTGCACCACCTCGTCGCCGGCGACCAGGGGCAGCGGCTCCAGACTCACCACCTCGACGTCGGCCTGGTCGGCCTCTGGGGCAGCGCCGGTCGCGTCGCTCTCATCCTCGGTAGGCTCGACGGCGTCGCCGTTCGCACTGCCAGGCATGGCAGCGCTGCTGCTCACCTCAGCAGGCTGGCTCGCGTTGCTCTGCTCCTCGGCGGCCAGGAAGTCCTCCCCGGTCCTGCTCCCCATCTCTGCGTGCGTGGTGCTTGCGGACGTCTCGTTCGAAAGGTCCTCGCGAATCTCGCTGACCGCCATCCCCTCCGGCGCCTCGCTAGTCTCGTTGGCCACCTCGGCAGGAACATCCGCGTGCGTGTCGAGGACCACAGCGGCATCCTTGAGAAGCTCCTGCCCACTCCTGTTCTGCGTCTCTTCAGAAATTTGTTCCTCCACCGCTGAGTGCACCACCTCGTCGCCGGCGACCAGGGGCAGCGGCTCCAGACTCACCACCTCGACGTCGGCCTGGTCGGCCTCTGGGGCAGCGCCGGTCGCGTCGCTCTCATCCTCGGTAGGCTCGACGGCGTCGCCGTTCGCACTGCCAGGCATGGCAGCGCTGCTGCTCACCTCAGCAGGCTGGCTCGCGTTGCTCTGCTCCTCGGCGGCCAGGAAGTCCTCCCCGGTCCTGCTCCCCATCTCTGCGTGCGTGGTGCTTGCGGACGTCTCGTTCGAAAGGTCCTCGCGAATCTCGCTGACCGCCTTCCCCTCCGGCGCCTCGCTAGTCTCGTTGGCCACCTCGGCAGGAACATCCGCGTACGTGTCGAGGACCACAGCGGCATCCTTGAGAAGCTCCTGCCCACTCCTGTTCTGCGTCTCTTCAGAAGTTTGTTCCTCCACCGCTGAGTGCACCACCTCGTCGCCGGCGACCAGGGGCAGCGGCTCCAGACTCACCACCTCGACGTCGGCCTGGTCGGCCTCTGGGGCAGCGCCGGTCGCGTCGCTCTCATCCTCGGTAGGCTCGACGGCGTCGCCGTTCGCACTGCCAGGCATGGCAGCGCTGCTGCGCACCTCAGCAGGCTGGCTCGCGTTGCTCTGCTCCTCGGCGGCCAGGACAGGGCGAGCAGCGAGCTCGGCGTCCACCTGCGAGCCCGCCTCCCTGGCGGGGCCCTCCGTCACGCCGCTCTCGCCCACGAGGGGCAGGGGCTCCTCGTCCAGGGCGGGCACCCCCGCCTCTGGCAAAGGTGCGCTCTCGACTGCCGGGATCGCCGCGGCAGGCTCTCCGGCCGAGGCCTCCTCGGGCGCACCAGGCTCCGCCTGCCTCGCAAGCTCGGCCCTGCTCTGCACGGCGGTCTCCGTGCCCCCGGTGCCGCTCGCTCCCTCCACCCTCTCCGCGCGGGTCTCCATGCCGTCGTCCACGGGCAAGACCTCCACTGGCACACTCGGCCCCAGCTCGAACGGAGTCACAGCCGCGGTCTCTGTGGCGCCCCATGCGGCCGAGGGCCCATCGTGCGCCGAGGGCTTGGGCTCCGATGCGTTCTGCGCAGAGTCCTCCGCGTCGGCCTCTGCAGCTTGCACCGCCGTCGAGGTGGGCGCCGATGCGTTCTCCACAGAGTCCTCCGCAAGGGCCTCTGCAGTTTGCACCGCCTCCGTCGTCGAGACTGGCGCCGAAGTCGTGGCTTTCCAGGCCACGGTGTCGTCGAGGGAAGTGGACTCGGGAAACGTACCCATGCCATCCCACTTGCCGTCCATGTAGGCCTGCGCTTCCTCCATCGTCATCTCCCCATATGGCTTCTTCATCTCGGAGCCACCGTCGGCAAGCAGCCGTGTCGAGTTCTCTGCGGGGCACGGTCTGGTGCAGCCCGCCTCCATGCGGTCAAAGAGAATCCCCTGCACCTCCTCGAAGCTAGAAGCGTTCGTGATCCACGGGTGCAGCTCTGGGTGCTCCCGGACCCCCTCCATCTGGGCCACCACCTCGTCGAAGCAGGCCGAGCCCTCCCCGGCAGTGCTGCAGACGAGCTCCGCCGCTCTCGGGGGCTCGGGCTCCGCCGCCGGCTCCGCTGCCACCGCGGGCTCCTCGAGCGCGTCGATTGCGCCGCGCTCCGAGCACGGCTTGGGGCACTGGGCCTTGCCATGCTGGTGCAAGACGGTCTGCATCTCCCTGTCGGTGGACCCGGGGCCGAGGCTCGGGTACCAGTCGGGGTGATGAGCGAAGCCGTAGAACCTGAGCCACTGGATGGACTTCGAGCACCAGCCGCCTGGGGCCGCGTCGCCACAGGTGCTGTGCGGAGGTTGCGCGACTGCTTCGCTGCTGTTGTACTGGCCGTCGGGCACCATCTCGAGTGCCTTCTGGCACGGCTTCTTGCAGCCCACCTTGCCGAGGGAATAGAGTATCATCTGGACATGCTCGAAGGGCGTGTCGCTCGAGAGCCCCGGGTACCAATCGGGGTGCATCGCGAACCCACTCTCACGCAGCCACGCCACGGAGCGGTGGCAAAGGCTGCCCTCTGCCGCGTCCTCGCAGTCGGACATGCTCGCGGCGGCGGCGGGGCCGTCGGGCGACTGTGCGGGGCTGCCCGCCGCAGCCCTCGGCGCCCAGGTGCTCGCCAGCAGCTCCTCGAGCTCGGAGGCGCCGAAGCCCTGAGCCAGGGCCTCGCCAGACTGCAGAAGCACCACCGCGTGCTGCCGCTCGACGTGCTCTGGGGCGCAGGGCGGCGTGCACTGGGCCACGCCGAGCTGGTGCATCAGCGACTGGAAGTCCCGGGCCGTGTACTCGCCCACGTCCCCTGGAAACCATTCCGGGTGCTCCGTGGCGCCTTTCTCTTTCGCCCACGCGAGCGCGGTGTGACACCAGTCGCCCGGGACCGCATCGCGGCACCCCGCCGCAGGAAGCCTGGAGGTCACGCTGGTCTGGAGCGCCAGGCAGCTGTTAAGAAGTAGAGGTACTACGAGCGGCACCATGGCGGCGAGACTGTGCGGAAAGCTAGGGATGGGCGAGCGGGGACCGCCCGCGCGCCAGTCAGGAGCCAACACGGCCTGAGCCCAGATGGGTACGGAAACATTTCGTGGGCCCGTGCTGGGGCGATTCACTCTTGGGCCGAGCCGCGGTCTGAGACGGCCGCCCCCGGAAAGCCAAAGCATCGGATGCCCCCGCCGAATAACACGAACACGGGCACATCCCTTAGGGCTTGTCGACTTTTCGCCAATCGACTTGTGAGAATCGAACCAGATAAACCCAGGTAAATGCAGATAAATCGAGGTAAATCCAGGTAAATCTAGACAAACCTTGGTAAATCCAGGTAAATCCAGAGATCTCCAGGGAAAGTTCGAGCACTTCGCGGCCGCTCCAGCGCGAGTCGACGGACGGCAGAAGTCGTTAAGCCTTTAACGAGCACATGTAACGAGTCGTCCCCACTGGGAATGCCTCTTGGAGGTCTTGCCGGGAGCGTCGGAGAGGCGCCCGGGGGCCGCTCGGGACTCTCGCGGGGCCGGTGGCCGCCCGCTCGGATACCACATGTGGGCCCGCTGGCCAATGGCCGGCAGGGGCTTGGCCAGAGGGCCGCGGAAGGCCCGAGGGACCGCTCGAGGGGCTCTCGAAAGGATGGACTTGTTTTCCACCGCCACCACCACAAGCAGGAGAGGGAGGGGGTCCTCCTCCTCCTCGTCCTCCTCCTCCTCCTCCTCCTCCTCCTTCCCCCCTCCAACTTATGGTGGTGTTGGAAAACATGCCCATCACGAGAACAGGGATCAAAGGTGTCCAGTTGTGGAAGGGGGGGACGCGGCTTTTCGCCGGGCGCCGGGTCTGTGAAACCAAAAATCTTGCCGTCTATTGGGGGCGCATCTCTTGCTCCCGCCGGCCTCCGCAAGCCTTCCGCAGGCATCCGCCAGCGGAGCCGCCCTCCATTTACGTCCGCCGCCTTCCGCCGAAGAACAGAAGCCAGCTTGCTCGGCCCTCAAAGGCGACGCCTTCTCCGAAATGCCCCAGAAGGCCAGACCTAGGACAGAAGAACACCCTTCAAGAACATGAGACACTCCGCCCCGGCCCAAACACCCCAAACCAGAAGATCACCGAGGGCAACCTCCCACAGGATGTACAGTAGCATCCACCAGACACGAAAAAACATCGGGGTACCCTCCCCGAGCCGACCCCGATCTTTTACCTCGGTTAGACTTAGGTCGGGCATGTCCCCCTACAGGCGGACCGTGGGCGAAATATTAAACATCATAGTCAAAAATACTCCAAAGTAGTCAAACATACACAGGAAATCGTCCCCAGACTAATTTTGGAATATTTTTGAATTTTCCTCCTCTAGAGGGACAAGCCCGACTTAATCTGAGGCCCAGGGAAAGATCGGCCCCCGATAGGCGGCGGAGAGACACCCAGACCTCCGACGCCGTGATGCTTCGCAACGTGTTATTCCCCAGGAGTTTGCAGGAGAGCCCAGAATCGAATAGACACGTCGGATCGACGAGCACCGGCAGCCAGGCCAGGAGAAGTCGGATCGGCGCAAGTCGGCAGGCTGCTACAGACTACAGACCCCCCCTGAGAAATCGGAATCCAGATCGGCATCAGAAGCTCTGAGCGAATCGGCGCTGGAAGCCATCGAAATCGAGTCGAATCGGGTCGGGGAAATCGGAACGAACCCTGGTCTGGAGCTCTTCCCAAGGACCGGTTTCTCATCGGGAATCATGTTTTTACGGCCACGGGGGCCCCTCGAAAAGCCGAAACCGCGCATAAACCTTCCGTCGTGTCAGGCTCCGCCGGTGCTAAACATGCCAGGATGATTCTTTTCGTTTTCAACATTTCGGTTTTCGACCAACTCACACGGGCAAAACACTGCAATTCACAACAAACAAAAAGCAGTACAAAACGGAACCGCACCGAAACGGCGCGAACGAGAATCCAAAATGAGGAAGCAAATATTGACCCCCAAGCGGAAAAAACAGCGTCGATCTTGAAAACGAAGAAACGCCCGCCCCCCCAGCGTTTTGAACATCATTTGCCGCCGCGCCGATTGCTCTCGACGCGCCCAGGTGAACGACGCCGACACCACGGCAAACGCGCGGCAAACGCTGCGTCCCGCGCCCCAAGTACGCCGACACCACGGCAAACCCACGGCAAACCCTGCGCCCCGCGCCGCAAAGTAGACGAAGCGGGCACAAAGGTTACCTCACGGCAAGCCCACCGCGCCCGAGGCGTCGTTTGCCCTGGTGCCCACTGCACCCTCCCCAAGACGGAAGGTGGGGAAACCACAAGGCACGGAGACCACTACTCCCCGGACCTCTCCTCGGGTGCGTTCTGAACAGAACTTCGAGGCGAACCCAGCAGTGGCGACGAGATCCCTCCAGGGGGCCAACAGAAAGGTGAAAACGAGGGAAGGGTGGAGGTATGGGGCTACCTTCTCCTCCTCTGGGAAGAATGCCTCGCGTCGGAACAAACGGCGCGTCGACATCTGAGATGTCAGGGTACGAACCCCAGCCTCGGGAACGTGACGTCGACGACGAACACGAACACGAACACGAACACGAACACGAACACGAACACGAACACGAACACGACGACGACGACGACGCCAACGGGAGGCCCCCAGGCTCTCCCCGGGCGGCCCACGGAACTGCAGGGCGGCGCCGCGCGGCGCCCACGCCACCTCCATCGCGACCTCGCCCCGCGGCGGCGGCACCACGCCCTCCGAGGGGGCGCCCGGCGGGAACAGCCTCGGGACCGGGAGCGGCTTGGATCGCCGCGGACACGAACACACACACACACACGGACACACACACGCACACACACACACACACACACACACACACACACACACACACACGGACACGGACACGGACACGGACACGGCCTGCGTCATGCACCGCGCGGGTGCTGCAGGGTGGGGCCGAAGCGCCGCGAGGGTTTCCAAGGCAGGTGGCGACGGGTCGTATCGGGTCGTCGGACATATCGAGATCGAATCGTGTCGGGCCAAGATCGACAACGACTCGGATCGATCGGATCGAATGGACCCTCGAAGGGGTTCACGTGTTCGGCGAGTTCTGGCCCCCCCGCCCATCGAATTGCCTGAAACGTTGACCGGCGAGGGTAGGGTTCGGATTCCGCCACCGATAAAATGAGATGGGCCCATAAATGGATGCGAGTGTAGGGTACGCCTGGCCCAACCTGACTTACAAGGTGGTTGAAGGTGCCCTGAATGGCTCAGGGGAAAGATGAATTCGGTAAGTGGACGGGGACCCATTATCCCCATATTTACCCCCCTAGGCCCTAGGCCTCTCAGGGCACTTGCAGCACACTGATAAGCCAGGCCAAATTAGGCCAACATTCGCACTCACATAAAACCACCCTCTCTTAGCAAACCCTGCGGCGATCCGAGGGGGAATGCTGTGCTTCCCCTGCCCCTGAAATCCTGTCGTCGCTTTTTTTGCAACGGGCGATTGTCTGCCTCGTAAAGGGCCCCTGGGTGATCACAGATTGCTCAGGATCAAAGAATGCCTTAAAAAGGTGGGGTCTAGGGCTGTTGGGCGTTGCATGTTTCGCAACGTGGGATCTGAAGGTTCTGTGCTTACGTGTGTGTGTATATATATATGTGTGTGTGTGCGTGTGTGCACGCAGACGTTAGTATCGAACTCTTCTCTAACATCTGATGACGGTGCCTGGGTACCCGAAATCGGTGGCCCACCATAGACCCCCATCCTGGCCCCCCTCGTGGCACACCCGCCCGCGTAACTGCGTAACGCTTTTCAGGATCTTCTGCCGCAAGGGCGCCACTTGTTTCTTCTCATCGCTGAGGCGCTTGCACTTGCTCCATGGTCCCTTCAGCCAGCACAGCGTGTGTGGCTTCCCGTAGCATTATCGGCATGCTTCGTTGATGTCCCTGTTAGCTCGCGCGCATGGACGAGCCAAGTGAAAAAGAGATCGCGCAGCAGAACTGCAACCCCAGTGGAGAGGGGAGGAGGCCGATGCCGCACTTTACCAACGTGGAGAATTGCGTGACGAACGTACGGGAAGCAGGGACAGGTGGGAGGCGACAGGCGAGAGGCAGGCGGCCAAGGATCTTCATCGGGAACGGGGGGGGTGCGATCTGACGAGAAGGAGGTTACGAAGGAGGAGGATGAGGTATGACAAGGAAAACGTATGCTTGTATGCATGTATGTATGTATGCGTGCGAGCGTGCATGCACGTATGTGTGGATGCATGCATGTATGTATGTATGTACGATTGTATGCATGCATGCATGCATGCATGTATGCAGGTATGTACGTATACATGAATGCATGCGTGCATTCATGCCTGCATGTATGTATGTCTGTCTGGCTGCCTGTCGGTATGTCTGTATGTATGTATTTCGGTGTGCCTGCATGTATGTATGTATGTGTGCATGCATGCATGCATTATGTATGTATGTATGGTTGTATGTATGTATGCATGTACATGCGTATGTATGTATGTATGTATGTATGTATGTATGTATGTATGTATGTATGTATGTATGTGTGCATGCATACATGCATGCATGCATACATGTATGCATGTCTGTATGCATGTATGTATGTATGATTGTATGTATGCATGTAGGTAGATAGGTAGGTATGTATGTATGGATGGATGGATGGATGTATTGAGGGATGTGCATGTGTGTATGTACGTATGTATGTATGTATGCACGTATGTATGTATGTATGTATACACATATATGTATATATATATGTGTATACATATGTATGTATGTATGTATGTATGTATGTATGTATGTATGTATGTATGTATGTATGTATGTATGTATGTATGTATGATGGTTATGATGATGACGATTGTGGTGGTGATGATGATGTTGGTGACGATGATGCCGATGATGATGATCATGCTGATGATGATGATGATGATGATGATGATGATGATGATGATGATGATGATGACGAGGTCGAGGATGAAGAGAAAATGCAGCAAGGAGGAGGATGACATTGTGCGGCAGCAGCGCGAGAGGTTGTTTTCCATGGGGAAGTAGAGTGGTCTGGAGACTTCTAGGG